CTAGTGGGCTTACCTTTTATCCAAATCAAGTAGGTCAATTACTACACATAGTGAACTTTTGCAGAAAATCAGACTACAGATTCCATATACTTGCCTGGACATATATTCACTTCTTCACTAAATTACCAAGCCAAGACAAAAAAACATGCCTTTATCTGTATGTTTATTCCTCATAGTTCTAGTATGCAACATTATTTTCTATAAATAAATATACTGTAAATATACCTTTTTTAAGCACTTCTCTTAAATACATGTCAAGCGAGGGGTCCAAAGTTTACCCTGGCTGTCGCACAGATGGGCTCCCATGGTGGGAGGGGTCGTGAGAAGGAGCTAGCTTGTTGTGTCGCTGGAAGACAAATTTCAGATATCGGGAGGGGGGAGTCTTCGGCTTCTCCTTCGAAAAGTTTTTGTTTTCTAGATGCTTTGGAATACACTTCGTGCATTATGAGACGTCTATTATTGAATACACTCTGAATTCATAGTTTTTCCCTACTTTACTATGGACAGTTAATAATTATGATGATGAAGAAGATGATGATGATGAGGAGGAGGAAGCTGTGCAAGAATAATTAACAGGCCCTTTGATGTGAAGTGTCAAGCGAGGCCCGTAGCTTAAGTTACGGTTGGGAATTTGGAGACATTATCGTTGTCAAATGTTCAATGCACACAGTCGGACAATAGATGATTTATGATATTTGTCTTGTATAGAAAGTAATATGAAACCAATAACATATCAATTCAGGCATTCGTTTATCTGTTTGTGGAAAATATAGCATATGAATAATACAAAATAAAAAGAATTCAAATAAAATAAAAATATGTAAAAAACATCTACACTAAATCAAAATGGAATATTCACTGCCCGTTGGATCCCAGTTTTAGTATTGCAGGGGCTTTACAGTATAACCAGTCCCCGTATTTCTGATAGTTTTCTGATTAAAATGTAAAATATTTAAGATTTTATATTCGGTACATTCTCAAATTTTATGTAAATCTCATATATCCCAAAATTACGTTATATTCATGCACGAAAGTAGAAAGTTTAACTTAATAATTTGATATGTTTTATGTTTTTTGTTGAATGGTTTTTAATGATATTTAAGTCTAATATGACCACAGCATAAGGAAGTCCTCTCCTTTAAACTTCTAACCTTCTAAGCTTTGCGTATCTCAATATACATATATATTTCCTTGAATCATGGAGGAATTAGTTAATTCCTCCATGCTTAAATCAAGGAAGTTCAATCATTAAATTAGTATATATAGTATAGAGAATTTTTTCTGTCAATCTCAGGTATCCAACTTTTAGGAAATTACATTTTATACATGCACCGACATGAGAAATTTAACCTAATAACTTTGATATGTATATGTTTTATATTGTTTGTTGAATGGACTTTTTAAATAATAATATTACAGTTTCACAACCTGACCACTTCAGTTCTCGTGGCTACAACCCTGTACTAAGGAGTGCAATTGATTTACACTTGAAGTCTTCTGTGTATAAATTACCCTTTTTTAAATTTATTTTTTGTTTTATTTAAATAAAGTTGATCTTTAGATTTCATGCTAATGGTTGATCTCATTTTTATTGCTGTACGTAGTGACAGGTGTTTGATGGTTTATGTAGCTATTACACGAGTAAAACCCTTTAAGACATGCAGCAAGGAACACTCATAAACAGATCCGAACATATATTACAAGCTATTGCTATAATGCAAATCTTACTGGTAAATTGTATGGGTGTGTATGTAAGGATCAGGAAACTTATTCATTAATGCTTGCTTTAAAAGCTTTTTAGCTTGCATTATTATTCATTCTTTTTTTTTTAATAGATGCGATAGATACTTATTATTATTATTGCTATAAAAAAAAAATATACTACAGTATCAAAGCATCATTCTATCCAAATTATGTGGTCATGCTTAAATATGAAATCAAATGGATATGATATGTTTTCATTTTAGATAAAATTAATCTTGGGAATATCTTTCCCCCGTTAACTGCCCAGATGAAAGGAAAATTTCCCTGTAAATGAGAAAATAAAGAATTCTTATGTCCTTGTGCATGGAATATCTAGGCAACCCTTTGGAGTATACTGTGTCATGTTGCTGTGAATTTATTACAGATCAATTCGTAGAAAGGGCTCATTCATCAACACAGATTGAGCAACATGTTATTTCTAATTCATGTTTTAGAAAGGATCAGGATCACATATGATTAAAAAAAGCTATCTAACAAAAGGCTGCTTGACGAATCCACCAATAGTGGGTTAACGACGGTAGCCCACTTGCCTCAGGCTTGAGTTTGGTTTTAGGTAAAACAACAGGGTACAGTAAATTCAATGCCTTTACACTAGTGTTGGCAGGCGCTAACAAGATCAACTGGGTTTATTCAAAGCCTGGTCTATATACTAAAACAGAATTATCTGAGTGTATATGAAGATATACTGTAAAGATGGCTTTGCTGTATTTTGTTAAAAGTTGTAATGAAGCCGTGTTAGTCTAAACAATATACACAGATTATAAAAGGCAGCACTCTGAGACTAACTTTGATGTAATTTATTCAACACAAGCTTTCGCTGGCAGTTAATGCCAGCTTCATCAGGTGTGTGAAGTAAAAAATTGAAAACAAAATAGAAAAGAGCTAATGCTTACATAATTAGCAAAGGTCTCACAATTAACCAATTAGCAGTCGGATACAATGTATTATATAATGATCAGAGATAACAAGTGTGATCAAGCTACTTACAATACAACTAATAAATAGAGCTCAGGGAGATAAACTATCTGTGCGTTCATGGTGCTAATATGACTCCACACTTGTTATCTCTGATCATTATATACTACATTGTATCCGACTGCTAATTGGTTAATTGTGAGACCTTTGCTAATTATGTATGCATTATCTCTTTTCTATTTTGTTTTCAATTTTTTACTTCACACACCTGATGAAGCTGACATTGACTGCCAGCGAAAGCTTGTATTGAATAAATTACATCAAAGTTAGTCTCAGAGTGCTGCCTTTTATAATCTGTGTATTTTGTTAAAGCTGTTCTTCATAAGCCCTGTCTAGACTAGCAAATTTTATTTAACAAAACAATGTGACATGCCTAAATATGGTCATGATGACATCATATCATGACCATATATAGGCATACAACTATACTACTATCATGATTATATATGGGCATACAACTTGGCTTTTTTTAAAGAAAATTTGATAATGTGGACATGACTTTATGTCGCATCTTACCGCATGTCCATGGGCCATTATCAGCCTCATTGTTAGGGATTGTTTGTGTGCCTATTCTTTTGTTTATACATTTCTTCCCTATTTAATAAATTGGGACAAGTAGAATAAAACAAACTGGATGGTATGTAATAAAACAAACTGGTAATGTATATTGCAACATTTCCTGTGAAATTCACTTTCGCAATTGTTGTGTATAAACGAAAACATGTTAAACATCTTCCGATCGACACATACAGTCAATATAAGTTGGTAGTGGTACTGGTATAAGCATTTATAATGCGCCTCTTCCTGGTCATTGTGTTCACATGCTTTGAGTGTTGCTGCTGGTAATCAGCGCAGGAGCAAGCAACCCCACCAGGTACCCATTTACACTCCTGGGTGGAGAGAAGCAATGAAGATAAAGTGCCTTGCTCAAGGACACAAGCAAAATGCACAGCGAGGGATGAAACCCCGACCACTAGGTTGGAAAGCCAAACCGTTTCCACTGCGCCAAACTGCTTCCTTACATAACAGAAATGTGTATGCAAGTATAGGTAAAGACATAAGCAATTGGAGAACAATTTAAATTGTACTCATAATTGTGAGTGTATGTATGTGTGCCAGATTAATTACCATATTTATTTTTTTCTTGTAGGTGCCAAGATTGGTCATCGTGAACTGTTCCGCTATTACAAGCAGAACATACCCCCGACCAGGGAAGTAGCAGTCCGGAACAACGCCACTATCGGTAAACTGAACATGCAGTACAAAGCTTTAGGCTGGTATGGTAATCAAGGTTAGTTATTAACAGTTTCACATGGTTCATGTTTGAAGATTACTCCAACAGCTCTTTTTTTATATTTACAGTAGCTGTTATTGAACCAACTCACCCACATTACATTTTTTTCTCATTCTTATAGGAAGGGTTGGCGAGGCAAGGCTAGCAGACCTCCGTTTTGTGCAAAAATTCAAGGCTAAACCGCATCTGACAATGGGTATGAAAAACAACAAGCTGAAACAAAAGCATTACAGACCTCAAGTTGTATTTTAGAGGGTGATAGATGAAAGAGAAGAAACATCTTAATAGAGGGTGCCAGACTGATAAATTCACATACAAAAAGGACTCCAGATAATCATTAATGAAACTCTAGACTTGGTTAAACATGTAAATGAAATGATAATAAATTTTAGATTGAAAACCAGACTGAAAATGTAACACATATAGAGGGCACCAGATAAAGAAATGACATATCAATGTCAAAAGATAAATGCTGTAACTTGTTAAACAGAGTTTATTTTGTAAAGTAACCAAATTGTTCCTTCACCTTCCTGTCCTGTCCATCCACAGAGAGAGCATGGCAACAATTCCTTTGGTGAATTAGTAAACCCTGTTTTCTGAAGAGATTACTGATTTATTTAATGTGCAAATGTCATTTTGTACACAGTTTAAAACATTTCCGAAAAATAGGGCTCTCGAGGGAATTCAATGCCAAAATACCAATCAGATTTAAAATGGTATTTTTTTCAGTGGTCAATACAATACCAGATACTGTAACCCTCTCCAGTTGTAGACTATCACAGCGATGCAGAAATTCATCATCAATTATAGCGTGGGGCATCGCATCGATTGCCTGAATATTCCATAATAAAAAATTCTGTAATCTGCAGCCCTCAAAATATTATTTTGTAATTGCCTTAATTAGCTTTCTGATATATTGGATCAAAGTTCAAAATAAAAATAAAATATCTGCTGCCAATAGGAGCACAACTTGATGTTGATAAGTGGATAATAACAGCCTCACTCTGTGATGGAGAAGCAGACTTGGAATGGTTAATAAATGTTACAGATGAAGGAAGGAATGATGATGACTTTAAAAAAAAAAATTAAAAGAAAGAAAAGTTAATGTATTTTCTTAATGAAAAAGAAAGCAAAGCAAAATCAATATGTTGTAAAGTAGAAGGCAAAAAAATATTTACTGTAATTGTCAGCCTTATTTCATTAAAAATATTTCAATATAGAAATGGAGATGAGTATTGTAAGATGTAATATGAATTGGCACTTATATTTGCAGTTTTGTCATTTAAAATGTTACCTGGTCATACAGGCCGACATCAGATCAATCTTTTCAGCTTGATAAAGGAGACTGACTTACAAAATTTTGATGACCTGCATCAATTGAGGACAATCGAAAAAAAAAAAGACAAACATGGAGGAGTATTTTATAGAAACAGTTTATTGTGACTTATACATTAATCTTGTACATGCTTGATTTTAGACTCTTAATCTAATGTATGGTTTTTAGTTTAAATTACAGTTGAAAATAAATAATATGAATTTGTGTTTTGCAAATGATCTGCTACAATTTGATTTAAGATGGTCTTCCTTTTGGTCAATATTTTGTGTAAAGTTTGATTGAAAAAAAAATATAAATAAATAAAATAGCAAGTCGGCTACTAGATAGATCTCCACACTTTTTTCTGCTCTATTATTACGCACTCGCAATACAATTTTTTCCATTAATTGAATGTCATATGACCAAGTGAAAGATTCTATTTCTTATTCCTTTATACAGTATTTCAAACTAACCTTTTTAATGGTGACTGTTCTTTCAATTTCTGTTTGCCTTAGAACTTTCACATTCACATCAAAATACAATCAAGATGTAAATACAGAAACAATGAAACATACAGGAACCAATTAATGGAAAAGATCAGAACATGTGTGAATATTCATCCATCTTTATCCAATTAAAAAGGACTCAACACATGTTTAATTCTTGCAACATTTCCATCAATCGAAGTTTAATTTCATAATTATATTTAGCCCTGTAACCAGGGCTGTCTCTTATACACATCTAGATGTGTATAAGAGACAGCCTTTACACTAGTGTTGGCAGGCGCTAACAAGATCAACTGGGTTTATTCAAAGCCTGGTCTATATACTAAAACAGAATTATCTGAGTGTATATGAAGATATACTGTAAAGATGGCTTTGCTGTATTTTGTTAAAAGTTGTAATGAAGCCGTGTTAGTCTAAACAATATACACAGATTATAAAAGGCAGCACTCTGAGACTAACTTTGATGTAATTTATTCAACAAAAGCTTTCGCTGGCAGTCAATGCCAGCTTCATCAGGTGTGTGAAGTAAAACATTGAAAACAAAATAGAAAAGAGCTAATGCATACATAATTAGCAAAGGTCTCACAATTAACCAATTAGCAGTCGGATACAATGTATTATATAGATGTGTATAAGAGACAGGGTATAGGTAGTGCCATGTGCACGCTTATGTAA